TGCTGAACTGATTCTATTAAAACCCCCTTACTCCACAGGGGGCTTGACCTTTTTCTGAAATACCAAATGCGTCTGCTTTGGAAATCACAAACTTCTCCTCCTCTAAAGAGCTTGTAAATCTGGTTTCAATATTGGGTGATTACAGGCTGTGCGGAGAGCTTGAAAGTAAGCAGCCACTTCTGGTAGCAGAGTGCCGGAGCGGGGCTGCCTGAGCTGAGCTGTGACTCTCATTTTTCACCCCGGTGTGCGTTCAGCATAAAGCCACTGATGTCAGCAGATTCACCCGGGATTAGCAGTCCGGTGAACGGCCAGGCTCTGGTCGCAGGATGGCTTACTTTCTCTTATCAGGACCCTGGAATCCAGTTTTTGTTGTTGTACAACCCCTTGCTCTGTTGTAAATCCAGCAGTCTCATTGCAAGTGGATGCTGCCCTGAAGGGCGAACACCCAGAAAAGCCTGGGGAAAGAGGAAGGTTTTTCCTTAGGTTTAATGGGAGCATCTGCACCTTCCCTCACTGCTGTCATGATCGTTAAACAAGGTATGAATGGGGAAAATATGTTGCCTGGCTCCCCATGCGGGATGGGATGTGCCTGTTAGCTACTAGTCAGTGGGGTTCCACAGCGAATAACTGAAAGCCAAATTTGGCCTTTTCATTGAAAAGGAGGGGGATAAGAAGATTACCTCCGAAGGAAAAAAGATCTATGGTCAAAAAAAGACCTCCATAATAAGGCAGAAGTTGAGTGAAGAAAAGAAAAACATCTTTGAAGGAGGCAAAGTTGTCTTTATTTCTTTTTTCTGATGCTTTCCCACGTGGAGATCAATGGAAACATGTTTGTTTTGCTCCACTGGCTGGTCACTTTGCAGGAAAATACTCTTTCTTGTTTTGATTCTAGGAGTTACTTGGGGCAATGGTATTTTGGATCCGTCACTGTATTTTATTTCTGGGGAAAAAAAAAAGTTGTGGAGAGGTGCTGTAAAATTACAGCTATCTCTTGGGAGGGGCCCAGTGTCTCCAACATTACGAATTCTGGCTCCCTCTAAATAAACAACCAGCCTCATTTTCTTTGTTTCACCTCTAACCCTTGTCTGCAGCCTTTACAATCCCAGGGGGTGAATCCTGAAGTAAAACAAACTGCAAGGGAAGGAAGCCAGGAGGGAGCCTCAGTGCCTGCAGATGAACAGAGCCTTCTGCTCTCCAGCCAACCTTGACAAAAGGGTTCAATCCTGAACTGACCTTCAGGAGGAAAAGCAAAACAAAAACCACCTTGACTTGAACTTTCAAGACTGTAGGAGTTTAATGCTCAGTTTGCTGTCTCCTAGAGGGAGCCGGGAGTTAGAAATGCCAAACACCTGTCTTGCAAACCCAAATCCTAACAAGTTATCAGGAAATCTGAGCCCCAAGTCAAATGGCTTTGAAAAACTTAAGATTTGCTCATCACTGTTTCCAAGTCAACCGTTGTTGCTAAAATGACCTAAATGTGCTTTTTCTTCCCCAATGTGATTCTCTAGGCAAATATATAATATCCAGTTAAGCAAATAGTTCTGTTGAAACATCAATATTTAGATGCAACTTTTCACCGAGCATTTCTGCCTGGAAGCAGGTCCTGCCCCAAAGCCCAGCCTTGCTCTCTTCCCTGTAGGCAGGAAGGAAGAGAACAAGTCAGCCCTGACTTTGTAAAAAAAGACACTGGCGTAAATTTAGGGTGAGATTTTCTTTTTTAAGAAGTTTTTATTAAAAGTGGGATGTTAAAGTATTTTTCTAGTTATCACGCTATATAATACATCAAAGGCCATGCAGTTGGGAAAAGCTAGTGAGATGTATTATTTCCCGCCCCTTAGCTATCGGCTGCATTTAAAAAATACTGACTTGAGACAGCTTGTTAAGAATGGAGCCTCTTCTTTATTTGCTTTTTTACCTATTAGATTAAACTTTCAGGACAGTGTCTGTGGAGCAGCAGGGGGATGAGCGCTTGTGTTTCTTCTAATTACATTTCCATTTTTAAAAGGAGGCCAACCAAAAGAAAGGGAAAAGTGGCGTCATGATGAACTTTTAGCTTCTGTCTGTGACAGAGGCTTGGGACGGCAGGCAACTAGCAGCCCAGCAGTGCTGGTGAGGGCAGCCAGCATGGCCA